TTGTTTCCAGACCCTTGATCATTTTAATCACCCAGCCATTGGCAAATGAATGCAGTTTGGTGCCCCTTTTAACTGCCAGGGCCCAGTGCTATAGAATCAGGGCAGCTGTAGTTTGGGGAGGAAAAGACCTTGGAAAACTATAATTCCCAGGATCCCCTGGCATGGAGGCAGGGCAGTGTCAGGGGTGTTCACTGCACTCCAGTGGAGATGCATCCCAGAACACTCCTGCTCTTCCTTATCCTGCTCCCAAAGGAGGAGGGACAAGATTTCCCTTTCCTCTCCTTTCCTCCCTCTGCCTTCACTCACCTTCTTCCCTCCAGTTCCTTCCACCTAAATCCAAGAACTCAGGCTGAAATCTTTGTTCTTTCCCTCCAAAAACCTCCAAGACAGGAAAGCCAAAGCCACGAGTTCCCCAAGAAGCCTCTTTTGGAGGAGAAGCCCAACCAGGAAGAGGAGGACACAGCCCACATCCGGCCAAAACAAAACACTGCAGGAAGTCCTCTCTAGACATCTAGACCTCGATGGTTTGCCTTCCAGCTGGCGTTGGTCCTCCAGGCGTTTGGACTTCAACTCCCAGAAGCCTCCGCTTCCTTGGACAAGGAGCAGGAATTCTGGGAACTGAAGTCCAAAATTTCCTGGAAGAGCAGTGCCTGGGAAACACTGTGGCTTTAGATGCTGCTAGGAACTGCTTTTCTCAACCGGGTAGAAATTTCTCTGATACATTTTAATCAAGTACTTTTCCCAGCTTATCCATAAGAATTGTTTTCTTAAAAAATATGTGTTTATGCTTGAATTTGTATTTATTCTTTTGGGTTTTTATGTATTCTTTTATTTTTGTTAACATCTCCACCATTCTCATAGCCTATATTTTTTTTAATTGCTTATTTAATTATTATTTACAGTATTTATATTCCGCCCTTCTCACCCCGCAGGGGACTCAGGGCGGATTACGATGCACATATACATGGCAAACATTCAGTGCCGTCAGACATACAATATATATAGACAGACACAGAAGCAATTTAACATTCCAGCTTTCTGGCTTCATAAGGGCATGCTCTATTCCGGCCACAGGGGGAGCTGCCACTTCACTGTCCACTTGTGGCACCAAGTCCTTGATGGAGTACTTCCTCAATCTTCCACACACTGCTGGAAGGTTTTATGGCGTCAAAAATTAGTTAAATTAACCTCCCCGCATAAAGCGGTACCTAAATTTCCTACTTGGGAGATGTAACTGTCTTTTGGGCTGCATAGGTCGACAGCAAGTTGATTAATGGTTGGGAGCTCACTCCGACCCGGGCTGGCTTTGAACTCATGACCTCTCGGTCAGTAGTGATTTAATGCAGCTGGCTACTAACTAGCTGCACCACAGCCCCGGTCCCTTTTACATCAACAGAATTAGGTTCAAATTACAGGAAAGGAGATTCCACTAGAACATTAGGAAGAACTTCCAGACTGTAAGAAGAGCTTTTCAACAGTGGAACTCTCTGCCCTGGACTGTGGTGGAGACTCCTTCCTTGGAAGGAGATCAGAACCGCCCCTTCTATCCGGACATTCAGGAAGCAGGTGAAGACGTGGTTATGGAGACAGGCATTCGACGAGTGAGCCAACATCCTGAGATATGGATGGAGGATGATGAACAACGATTTGAGTGTGACGACTGACCATTGTATTTATTGAATGTAATTGCTGTTTTAATGTTTTATTGTAATATGAATTATGATGTTTTATTGACTGTATGTGATATTATGGTTGGAAACCAGTCTGAGTCCCTCAAGAGAGGTGAGAAGGTCGGTATACAAAACTTTTAAATAAATAAATAAATAAGCTGTAGAGCAAGGGTCCTCAAACTAAGACCCGAGGGCCGGAGATGGCCCTCCAAGGTCATTTACCTGGCCCTCGCTCAGGGTCAACCTAAGTCTGAAACGACTTGAAAGCACACAACAACAACAACAACAACAATCCTATCTCATCAGCCAAAAGCAGGCCCACACTTCCCATTGAAATACTAATAAGTTTATATTTGTTAAAATTGTTCTTCATTTTAATCATTGTATTGTTTTTAAGGTCACGAAGAGTCGGAAACGACTGAACGAATGAACAACAAAAAGTTTTTAAGTGGATTTTTTTTTTTGCACTTCAAATAAGATATCATTCATGGTTTTTTTTCAAATTATAATCCGGCCCTTCAACAGTTTGAGGAACTGTGACCTGGCCCTCTGTTTAAAAAGTTTGAGGACCCCTGCTGTAGAGGGTGGATGCCAATCTGTTGGGGGTGCTTTGGTTGTGCTTTTCCTGCCTGGCAGAAAGAAGGGGGTTGGACTGGATGGACCTTGGGGACACTTGCAACTGTATGATTGCAATCTCAAAACTTTTTGTCTATTCTTTATCAAATGTGTGCTGCTAAAATTGCCTGTCGATTGATGATCTCCCTCTGGATTGCAAAGGGTTTTCTTAGGCAAATATGGTGGTTTTCCACTGCAATAAAACATCCAGAACTGTGTACTCCAGTACTCCAGTATTTCTCAACCTTCCTAATGCCACGACTGGCATCCACCCTCAATCCAGTTCCTCCTGTTGTGATAACCCCCCAACCATCAAATTTATTTTTGTTGCTACTTTATAACTATAATGTTGCTACTGTTATGAATTGTAATGTAAATGTCTGATATGCAGGATGTATTTTCATTCACTAGACCAAATTCGGCACAAATACTTGATACATCCAAATTTGAATACTGGTGGGGTTGGAGGGGGGGGGTTGATTTTGTCATTTGGGAGTTGTAATTGCTGGGATTTATAGTTCACCTACAATCAAAAGAGCAGTCTCAACTCCACCAATGATGGAATTGAACCAAACTTGGCACACAGAACTCCCATGACCAACGGAAAATACTGGAAGGGTTTGGTGTGCATTGGCCTTGAATTTTGGAGTTATAGTTCACCTACATCCTGAGAGCACTGTGGACTCAAACAATGATAGATCTGGACCAAACTTGGCATGAATACACAATATGCCCAAATGTGACCACTGGTGGAGTTTGGGGGAAATAGATCTTCTGCTTCTTTGGATGTAACATTTCTACAGGGACACTTTTGTCCTCTCAGAATGAGAACTTTTCCCTACTTCCATGAATCTTTTGGTGCCTAAAGGGTTGCGTGTTTTGGTAGAAACCCTGCACACAGATCACAGAGTGATACAGCTTTTCTGGTGGGTGGCCAGATTTATGTTCCTGGGTGTCACTGTTGAGGATGATCTGACCTGGGGCATTCGTAAGGCAGTACTGATTATTATTATTTATTTAAAACATTTATATTCCCCTTTCTCACCCCGAAGGGGACTCGGGGCGGAGCACAGCATATATGCAGCACATTCAATGCTGGGACACAAATTCATATACACATACATAAACATTAAAAACATTTATCTCTATATCAGTGGTTCTCAACCTGGGGTCCCCAGATGTTTTTGGCCTTCAACTCCCAGAAATCCTAACAGCTGGTAAACTGGCTGGGATTTCTGGGAGTTGTAGGCCAAAAACATCTGGAGACCCCAGGTTGAGAACCACTGCTCTATATTAAAATACAACATTTAAAACAATCTTTCCTATTGCTGCTTTATTGCCCTGTCCTGAAAGCTTGGTCCCACAACCAAGTTTTTATCATTCTTCTAAAGGACAGGAGGGAGGGGGTCAACTTGATCTTACCAGGGAGTTCCATAGCTGGGGAGCAATCACCAAGAAGGCCCTGTCTCTTGTTCCCACCAATTGTGCCTATTTCAATGGTGGGATGGAGAGCAGGGCCTCCCCGAAGGATCTTAATCTCCACGATGGTTCATAGGGGAAGATGTGTTCGGGCAGGTAGATTGGGCCGGGGCCATTTAGGGCTTTATAGGCCAAAGCCAGCACTTTTAATTGTGCCCAGTAGCAAACTGGCAGCCAGTGGAGCTGGCATAACATGGGAATTGTGTGCTCCCTGTATGCCGCCCCAGTTATTAACCTGGCTGCCTCTTGTTGGACTATTTGAAGCTTCCAATCAGTCTTCCAAGGCAACCCCATGTAGAGTGCATTGCAGTAGTCTGTCCTAGATGTAACGAGAGCATGGACTACCGTGGCCAAGTCCGACTTCCCAAGGTACAGGTGCAGCTGGCGCACAAGTTTCGATTGTGCTAAAGCTCCCCTAGTCACCACTGCCACCTGGGATTCCAGGCTCAGTGATGAGTCCAGGACCCCCAAGCTGCGAACCAGTGCCTTCAAGGGGAGTGTAACCCCATCCAGCACAGGCTGTGACCCTATACCCTGTTCGGCCTTGCGACTGACCAGGAGGACCTCTGTCTTGTCTGGATTCAAATTGTTTTTATACTGGCATAGAATTCTTGCTGTTCTTCTTTGTTGTAAACCGCTGTGAGTCGCCTTTGGGCTGAGAACAGCGGTATATAAGTAAGGAAATAAATAAATAAATAAATAAATAAATAACTTCAATTTGCTCGCCCTCATCCAGACCATCACAGCGGCCAGGCACCAGATCAGGACTTGGGCTGCCTCCTTAGCATCTGGTGGAAATGATAGAGTTGGACATCATCTGCGTACAGATGGCATCGGACTCCAAAACTCCAGATGATTTCACCCAGCGGTTTCATGTAGATGTTAAACAACATAAGAGGGCCCAGGAGACTGTACTGACCAAGACTTCTAAGGAACCAACAACTGAATGAAAAACTGCTGGTGACTTTCTACTGCTGTACTATAGTATCCTAACCTACTACATCTGCACATGGTTTGGTAACTGCACAGTGACAGATAGGAAGGAGCTCCAAAGGGTCATCGTTACTGCCCAGAGAATCATTGGTTGCCCTCTCCCCTATTCAGAAGAATTTTATAATTACCGCAGCCTTCAGAAAGTTCAGAACATTCTGAAGGAACCATTTAACCAAGCATACTTTTTTATTATTATTACCATCTGGCAGATGATACAGGAAGACAAAGAAGAGAACAAACAGATTGAGAGCTGTAACTATATTGGATTCCATCGTTTTGCATTGGTGAAGCATTGGGGGCTGTGTGGTGGTGGTTGGAGTGTGGAGGGATGGGTGTGCTGCTTTTGAGATGTACACTGAGGAAAGCATTTAATTTCATTGTACAATCACAATAAAGTTATTCTATTCTATTTCATGGCAACCTCTGTTGGAACATGCAAGGAATCAGTGAGTGTGTGGGTCAGCTGTAAAATAAGATGCTTGAGGTTGATTGGTCTGGCAATGCCTGGGGAGCTGAGCCTGGGACTTTTGGTTACTACTGCATTTTTGTTCAGGCTTGAGCTATGCAAGCACAGAGAGGGATTTTGAAGAGAGAAGCAGAGAGAGGCAGAGTTTGGAATGTACTCTCGCTTCATGTGCTGCTGAAGGAGTTTATCCACATGGACAAAGAAAAACCATTTCAAATCTCTCATAAAATGACATTATGTGAGTTGATACAACTGATCACATTGTTGTTCTGAACTGCAAAGAGTAAACTACTTGTTATTTACTGTTTATCTGCATGGCATATTTTCTTTCTCTGGCAAGGTACTATGTGGACATCAAACATGAACTACACGTGGTTTATTTTACATTATGCCACAACCTCTAGTGTATCACGAACTGTGACATGTCGCTGAAGTTCTTTCTACAGATTAAGCATTGGTATGGGTTCTCCCCTGTGTGAAGTTTCCAGTGGTCAAGAAGGTCATTCCATAGCTGAAGCACTTTCCACAATCCAAGCACAGAGAGGGTGTTTCTCCAGTGTGGGCTCTTTGGTGGCATATCTGGTGCGACAGATAACAGAAGCTTTGCCCACAATGGTGGAAACCCTAGATCAGGGGACGTTTCTTAAATCTGGTGCGTGTTGGTCGAAGGATTTTATGTGTTTACTCTTCCACACGTCATTTCTGATGCATGGACATGTTTTGGAGCCAAAGTTATGGATTCTGGTATCACTCATGGATAAGTAATTGTCCATAAAGGAGAAACACCCTTTCTGTGGTCCCCCGACATATCCTATCCAAGCATTGAAAAGTGACATAAACAATGCCATGGCTGAGGGTAGAGAGGAGCAGTGCTTCTTCTAGATTCTCCAAGGATGGATTAAGTTCTCGCCTTTTGCCACTCTACTCAGATACAGAGATGGGCCCTTTTCTATATAAGAAGTAGGGTGCACTACTTACATTGACATGTGGATAAATCAATCCAGGATTTTGGGTTGATTTTTTGACTAGGATTTTTAGACTTATACATGGGTATATAGGGCAGGGGTCCCCAAACTAATTCCAGAGAGCTTGATAAGATCCTCTAAGGTCAGTTACCCTAAACTTTAATTTAAAGGCCTCCCTAAATCTGAAATAACTTGAAAGTACACAACAACAACAATCCTAATTAACTTGACTACCTCATCAGCCAAAAGCAGATCCACACCCCACTAAAATACTGGCAGGTTTATTTTGGTAAGAATTATTATTCATTTTAAATATTGTATTGCTCATTTGTGTTTTGCCTTCAATCACTGAATGAGCAATAATCCCTGACCTGGCCAAACTCTGCAAAAATGCCCTTAGAAGCACTTTATTTACCTGCTAGTGCAATTAATCTCTATTTTCATCCGCTGGATCCCCTGTCCAGATACATTACATTGCTCTCTCTCCCAGTGCTTTTAAACTTCTAATCTTTGCAACCTTCCCTGCCCACTGTGATCAATTTTTTTGTGTTCAATTATTGCGTTTTAATATTGTTATGTCGTGCTTATTTATATTGTTTCTTGTATTATTTTCTTTATATTTTACTGTTGTATTCCTATGTTGTATATTTGTTTTACTGTATTGTTGGGCTTGGTCTCATGTAAGCCACCCTGAGTCCCCTTGGGGAGATGGTGGCAGGGTATAAATAAATTATTATTATTATTATTATTATTATTATTATTATTATTCTGCTCTACAAATACGCAGTGTGCATAAGCATTCGTTCATGGTTTTATTCCAACCAAAGTCCATCCGGGTCTCCCAACAGTCTGAGTGACTATGAACTAACTCTCTGCTTAAAAACTTTGAGGATGCCTGATATAGGGTATTTATTTTTTAGATGCCACTAAACTGTTTGTTGAATTGGGAGAAAAGACTATCAATGCCAGCATTCAGTAAATGCTGAGTTTTTCTGTGGCAGCTTCTCTCGCCCTCGATTCTCTGATGTAAAGTCAGGCTATAACTTTGGCTGAAGCCCTTCCCACACTCTGAACAGGTGAATGGTTTCTCTCCGGTGTGAATTCTCATATGTCTGACAAGGCTAGACTGATTGCAGAAACTCTTGCCACATTCAGAGCAGGTATATGGCTTCTCTCCTGTGTGTATCCGCTGATGGAAGCTAAGGCTTCCACGGTGTCCAAAACTCTTTCCACACTCTGTACATTTATAGGGCTTCTCCCTCGTGTTAATTCTTTGGTGCTGAATGAGACTTGGCTTGCTGACAAAATTGCGGTGTGGTTTCTCGCCCCTGTGACTCTTCTGATGCCTAAGCAAGTGGGAGCTCTGACCAAAGCACTTCCCACACTCCAAGCACTGATAAGGCTTCTCCCCAGTGTGGATAATCTGGTGTGACTTGACGTGGGCCTTCCGACCAAAGGATTTCCCGCATTCCAAGCATTTAAACAGCTTCTCCCCTTTTTTGATTCTTGGATGCTTCATCTTATCAAGATCCGAATTCATACACTGTCTCTCATCTGCAGAAATACTTTGATTCAGGTATAAGTAGGAACTCGTCCCTTCACAAAGCGTTTCACATTCAGTAAGGTTTCCACTCTGACTGAAGGTCGTTTCTAACATTAAAATGGATTCGTCCCCAGGGAGAATTCTATTATATACACTGGGGAAAGCAGTCCCCCTTTTTTCTTTCTCCCTTTCCTGCTGGATTGAGATTTCTTGGGAGTCTCCCACCTGAAATGGGAAGGATTTGGGTTCCGACTCTCCTGTATGACTTCCATCTTGGCCCGCTGGCCCATTTTGGCTCCAAACAGTCTCCTTCAATGCTTCATGCTCTGTTCTTTCCGAGGAATCCTCACCTAGTTGCCCCTCATTCTCACTTTTCCATTCATCACCTGTTGGAAATAAAGCAGAAGGGAAATTAAGACCCATTCTCACAATGCCCCCAGGAAGCTTCCCAGGAAGGTTTAGGAAGAACAAGACAGAGTGCTTGTACCCAAGTTTTTGGAAAGTCTTCCTTGGTGAAGTCAGGATCATCCCATCTTTCTTTGTTTTGACTGACCAATGAAAATTCTATAATTTGAGGATTTATGTATTTATTTAAAACATTTATAGTCTCATCCATCAGGGGACTCAGGGCGAAGCACAACATATATACAGCAAGCATTCAATCCTGGGACATAATACCATATATATATGGGGTGTGTGTGTGTGTGTGTGTGTGTGTGTGTATGTATATATATATACATATATATATATATATATATACACACACACACACACATACATACATACACACACACACACACACACACACACATTAAAATCACTTATTCCACTTTAAAACCAGTTGCTTAAAAACCATCTCAGGACACCATTCTATTATTGCCTCATTGCACTGCCCCAAAGGCTTGGTCCCACAGCCAGGTCTTTACCATCCTTCTGAAGGACAGGAGGGAGGGGGCTGATCTAATATTGCCAGGAAGTGAGTTCCATAGCTGGAGGGGGGGGCAATCACTGAGAAGGCCCTGTCTCTCGCCCCCACCAAACGCAACTCTGATGGTGGCGGGACCAAGAGCAGGGCCCCCCCAGAAGATCTTAGTTTCTGCAGTGGTTCGTAAAGGGAGATGGGTTCAGACAGGTAAACTGGGCTGGGGCCGTTTCTAAAAGTTTCTGAATCTTCAATAGGAGCTCAAAGAGAAATTGAACCCTATACTGTTTTTCTAATTTTTTTCATTTCCTCCTGTCCCTCGCACAGCATCCATTTTTGTGGTTCAACAAGCTTAATGTATTGTCGCATCTCAGAGTAGAACCACTTTGCTTTGGACACTGAAGAACACACCAGCAGTTGTCTTTGCAGTTTTATTTAAAATAAAAGATAAAAAGTTCAAAAAGCAAAAGTATATTTCAAAAGATCAATCCAAGGAAACATAGGCAAACAAGATCCATGAAGACACAGGCAAGGCAAAGTCCCTTAAATATGTGACAAAGTCCTAAAACATGAACATGAAAAGCTACAAGATAAATCCCAAAGTCTCTTGGTTAAAGCATGAAATTGCTCTGACACTGAGACACATTCAAACAGGCTGTTTAATACTCTTGGGCCAGCATGAAGGCATTCCTATGGTGTCGGGCCTCTCTCTCTCACCTCCAGGCGATGCTGACACTCCTTCGCACTTTCAATTCCAAGCGATCAGGCCTATCTAAATCACCGGCCCCATCGAGGTCAAATCCCTCGTTAGCTGGCTGAGAACTTTCCTCAGTTCCTACATCCTCTCTTCCTTCATCAGGCACCTGGCTCTCAGTCTCAGTAGTTTCACTTTCCCCAGTGTCAACCCTTGCTGTGGGAAACAACTGAACTTCTGCCCCCTGATCCTGGTCTTCCTCGTCTAACACAGGAACATCCTTGCTTCCCATCTGATTATCCCCATCAGAATCATTGATACCATCACTCTGTGATTCCAGCTGAGTCACAACATGTATCAGATTATTTCCCCTACACAGATCTTCCATCAGGTATAAAAACATTCACTGACCCACACACACAACATGGATTATGAGAAGGGTACAAAAATTTGCCACAAACTAAGAGGGCAACTGTGCCCACGCATCTTCATCAGGGTGATTCTATGGTATGTTTCCCTTGGAACTTCTTTGAACTTTAATAATCAGAAGTGGATACAATAATCCAGGTGAGGATTGACACGTGATAATGAGGATTTCCAGGCCAGGAGTCTGCCCATGCAGTCCTTTAATTTACCCCAGAATGGGGAAATGTTGTCCTTCCAGATACTACAACTTTAAATCTCTTCTGACAAAGCATTACAGGAGCTGGGAGCTCCATGTACCTTGTAGAAGCTTGGGCTTAGACTACCCAAAGGACAAAGAGAAGGACCTATTGAGGGGAGAAGCAGCCTCAGTGCTGTGGTTGGTCTAGGAAGAACATCCCCTACTTTCAAGGACAAAACAGCCCATTCTTCTTACCCAAGGGTCCAGCATCCCTATCGTCATCTTCCTCTTTGGTCTCCACACTAAGCTTCTTTTGCTCCATCTCAGGTAGGGCTTGAACAGCTTCAGGAGAACCCACAGTCTGCTCTTCCTCTAACGGCACCTAAAATATTTATCACTTGTCAGACAAACGTATATCTCACTTATATGGCTTTGCTCTGCTCTACACAGTTCTCAAAATATTTGTGAAGAAGTTCATGGCCGGAGAAAATAACTGGCTCATCATCACAGAATGTGTTTCATTATCCAGAAAGGACTTGAACCCAGACCTCATAAGTGACAATCCCACATTAAACATACTGCCTGGGCATTTGATGAGGGCTGCATTCGCTCTGGGCTGTGCACCCCACATCCCTACAGTATTTCAACTTTTTCTTAAATTAAAAACTCAATATGCCCACCTTGTCATGGGAATTTGTGAGAGAATGTTGTCATGTTATTCCCCTTCCATGGCTGTTTCAGGCACAAAAGAGGTCTTGTTAAAACCACAAAGTAAACAGAGAGTTACCTATTGGGGCAGAGGAGATGCTGGGAGATGAAAGAAGGCTGAAAGATGGCCCCATACAGGCTACATTTACTTACTCCAGATCTAATCACACTGCCACCCTGTCTTGATAAATTGAGAAGATCTATTGGCACCTTGCACAAAGCTGCCCTTTGGGAAGTCTGTAACCCAATGAATGGTCCTCACCTGGTTTGCCTGCCTCCTGGCCTCTTCCTCTCCCTGCTTCCGGAGGAAGTCCTCCGCCAAGGCCACCGCCTGGGAGCAAGTCTCTGGACCACATTCCTTGACCCAGGCCTCTATCTCTGGAGGAAGGACAGCTAAGAACTGCTCCAAGATCAGCAGCTCCAGGATCTGCTCCTTCGAATGCCTTTCCGCTTTCAGCCACCGGCAACACAGTTCCTGAAGCTGGCCATAAGCCCCTCTCGGCCCCTCGGCCTCCCGGTAGCGGAAACGCCGGAAACACTGCCGCTGCGCCTCCCGCCGCATGGCGTCCCCATGCAAGATGGCAGCCTTCACTTTCTCATAATCCTCCCTGCTTTCGGCCTCCAAGCCAGTGAAGGCCCGCTTGGCCTCTCCGCTCAATGCTGGGAGGAGCCGGGGCACCCACTCTTCCTTGGGCCACCGGCAGGCTTGGGCCACTTGCTCAAAGGAGGCCAGGAAGGCTTTGGTGTCATCCCACGGCTCCTCCCTCGACTCAGAGGTCCCCCAGTTTGGGTCAGGACCTTCCACGCTCTTCAGGAAATCCTGCCATTGGGTTTCCCACTGCTGAAGAGAGTCTTTGTTGGGCTCCTGTTTCACCTCCCTTGGTCTTTCTTGCAGGAATGCCTCCATCGCCTCAACATGGCAACTCCCTCTCTCTTCCTGTGACACCTGCCTTGGTATAAGATTTGTAAGGTATTTTCGGGTCTCCATTTTCATGCTTGGACAATACTAGCCTCAAATGGTAGGGAATGCTAGACTCTAATGCAGTTGTCTAAATATCCACATGGAGCTTTCTGCCTGGAAAATGGAAAGAAGCAAAGAAGAATATTGCACAACATTGAAAAATAAGAGTTCCAAAAAATGCAAGGCTGAAATGGGACTGGTCTATACTGTATTTAACATCAGAAGAATAAGAAACCACGAAAATCAGAAACGTTTGCTCTCTGTATGCATGGGGCATACTTTTCCAAATGCAAAAACAGGAAATCTTGAATAATAGCAAACTTTATTGAAATGAACAACTCTGCTAGCAAACAGTTTCCCTGGAGAACCTAGGCCAGGAGTGTCAAAATAATTTTCCTCCAGGGCCACATGAGCCTTATGGCTGCTTTGAAAGGGCCATTGCGACTATGGATGGAGAATCTGTGGATACAGATTATTTCAGATAGCGTCCGGTGCTCATGGAGCCCCCGGGAGCATAGCACTTTAAACCACTGAGCTGCTGAACTTGCTGACCAAAAGGCTGGCAGATCGAATCCAGGGAGCGGGGCGAGCTCCCGCTGTTAGCCCCAGCTTCTGCCAACTTAGAAGTTCAAAACCATGCAAATGTGAGTAGATCAATAGGTGCCGCTTCGGCAGGAGGTAACAGCGCTCCATGCAGTCATGCCGGCCACATGACCTTGGAGGTGTCTACGGACAATGCCGGCTCTTTGGCTTAGAAATGGAAATGTGGTTTGGGGAGGCACCAACAGAGAAAGGGAAAAGACCTTGGAAAACTGCAACTCCCAGGATTGAGCCAGGGCAGAGTCAGGCCTGTGAACTGCATTCTTTCTCCAGTGGAGATGCATCCCAAAACACTACAGCAACATTTCCCATCAGAAGTCGCCTTTCCTTTCATCTCCTCCCTCTGTCTTCACTCACCTTCTTCCCTCCAGTTTCTTCCATCTGAATCCAAGAACTCAGGCTCAGATCTTTCTCCTTTTCCTCCAAGAAAGAAAAGCCAAAGGCAGGAGTTCCCCAAGAAGCCGCTTTTGGAGGAGAAGCCCAACCAGGAAGAGGAGGATACTGACCACATCCGGGCAAAACAAAACTTCCGGAAGTCCTTTCTAGCCACCTGTAGTTCCAGGTCTCGAAGGTTTGCCTTCAAGCAGCAGTTGGTCCTCAGCTTTTGGACTTCAACTCCCAGAAGCCTCCGCTTCCTTGGACAAGGAGCAGGAAATCTGGGAACTGAAGTCCAAAACATTGGAAGAGCAGAGACTGGGAAACATGTGGCTTTTGGAAAGCTGGGAGGAAGTGCTTTTTCCCAAAGGGGAAGAAATTCTGCTGATAATGCAAGTTGTATTTTAGTAAAATAATGTTTCCAATTTACTCATAAGAAAAAAAAAACACCTGCAATTTGTTTATTTATTGTAATATTATTATAAATAAATAAATAAATTGCAGGGAGGTTTTTTTGTTCTAATGAGTAAGTTGCAAAAATTCCATGCAGTCATGCCAGCCACATGACCTTGGAGGTGTCTATGGACAAGGCCAGCTCTTCGGCATAGAAATGGGGATGAGCACCACACCCCATAGTCGGACACGACTGGATTTAATGTCAGGGGAAAACCTTTACCTTTGTTGTTGTTCATTCGTTCAGTCGTCTCTGACTCTTCGTGACCTCATGGACCAGCCCACGCCAGTGTATGCTCCCTGCGCCCCGCTCCTGTTAGAATCATGGCTGCCGCCCGTTGGACTAATTGAAGCTTCCGGGCTGTCTTCAAGGGCAGCCCCACGTAGAGAGCGTTGCAGTAGTCGAGGCGGGATGTGACCAGAGCATGTACCACCGTGGCCAAGTCAGACTTCCCAAGGTACGGGCGCAGCTGGCGCACAAGTTTTAACTGTGCGAATGCTCCCCTGGTCACCGCCGAAACCTGGGGTTCCAGGCTCAGCGATGAGTCCAGGATCACACCCAAACTGCGAACCTGCGTCTTCAGGGGGAGTGCGACCCCATCCAACACAGGCTGTAACCCTATACCCTGTTCGGCCTTGCGACTGACCAGGAGTACCTCTGTCTTGTCTGGATTCAATTTCAATTTGTTCACCCTCATCCAGACCGTCACAGCGGCCAAGCACCGGTTCAGGACCTGGACAGCCTCCTTAGTAGCAGGTGGAAAGGAGTGACAGAGTTGGACATCATCTGCGTACAGATGACATCGCACTCCGAAACTCCGGGTGATCTCGCCCAGCGGCTTCATGTAGATGTTAAACAACATGGGAGACAGTATTGAACCCTGAGGAACCCCACAAGACAAAGGTTGTGGGGTTGAACAGGCGTCTCCCAGTAACACCTTCTGAGACCGACCCTCGAGGAATGAGCGGAGCCACTGCAGAACAGTACCTCCAAGACCCATCCCCGCGAGGCGTCCCAGAAGGATACCGTGGTCGACGGTATCGAAGGCCGCTGAGAGGTCGAGCAGCACCAACAGGGACACACTCCCCCTGTCGAGCCCCCGACGCAGATCATCCACTAAGGCGACCAAGGCTGTCTCGGTACCATGCCCCGGCCTAAAGCCAGACTGTGCCGGATCATAATCCGTGTCTACCAAGAATGCCTGGAGTTGTGAGGCCACCACACGTTCCATGACTTTGCCCAAAAAGGGGAGATTGGAAACAGGCCGATAGTTGACGAATTGAGTGGGGTCCAGTGATGGTTTCTTCAACAGCGGTTTTATCACAGCTTGCTTTAAGCTGGCTGGGATTTTGCCCTCCCGAAGGGAGGCATTAACCACCACCTTCACCCACTCGGCCAATCCCCCTCTTGCCTCCTTTAGAAGCCAGATTTATTTATTTATTATTTTGAGGTTTTATATACCGACCCTCTCACCTTCAAAGAGGGATTCAGACCAGTTCACAACATGTGTTAACATACAAAAATATACAATAACAACACTGGGACTGTGGCGCAGCTGGCTGGCAGTCTGCTGCGATTAAAGTATCAGCACCATACACATTAAAACATTATCATCACAGTTAAAGGAACCAAAGGACCAGTGTTTCTCTACCTGAGGGTCTGGACTCCTGGCCTGGGGGGGGGGGTCATGAGGGGATGTCAGAGGGGTCGCCAAAGACTATCAGAAGATACAGTATTTTCTGTTGGTCGTGTGAGTTCTGTGTGGTGAGTTTGGCCCAATTCCATCATTGGTGGAGATCAGAATGCTCTGTGATTGTATAAATCCCAGCAACTGCAACTCCCAAACGTCAAGTCTATTTTCCCCAAAATCCACCAATGTTCACATTTGGGCATATTGAGTATTTGTGCCAAATTTGATCCAGAGCCATCGTTGTTTGAGACAACAGTGCTATCTGGATGTTGGTGAACTACAACTCCCAAACTCAAGGCCAATGCCCACCAAACACTTCCAGTATTTCCTGTTGGTCATGGGAGTTCCGTGTGCTAAGTTTCGTTCAATTCCATCGTTGGTGGGGTTCAGAATGCTCTTTTGATTGCAGGTGAACTATAAATCCCAGCAACTCCAACTCCCAAATCACAAAATCAATCTAACCCCAATAGTATTCAAATTTGGGCGTATGGGGTATTTGTGCCAAATTTGGACCAGTGAATAAAAATACATCAGATGTTTACATTACAATTCAGAATAGTAGCAACATTACAGTTATGAAGTAGCACTGAAAATAATGTTATGGTTGGGAATCACCACAACATGAGGAACTGCATTAACGGGTCAGGCCATTAGGAAGCTTGAGGAACACTGCCCTAAACGGTTCTGGCCCAGCTTACCTGTCCAAACATATCTCTCCTTATGAACTATCTAGGAACTTAAGATCGTCTGGCGGGGATGAGAAACAGGGCCTTCTCAGTGGTGGCCCCTTGACTGTGGAACTCCCTCCCTAGGGATATCAGATCGGCCCCCTCCCTCCTGACCTTTCAAAAATGAGTAAAAACTTGGCTCTTTGAACAAGCATTTGGAAATGCTGTGTAATAATAGTTATGAACTATGGAGAATGAACATGGAATGGCTAGACGATGCTACTGGACAGTGTTAATATGAAAATTAAAAGTGACAACGGGCATCCTTGCCTTGTTCCTTTTTGTATTTCTATAGTTTTAGTTTCTTGCCCATTTATTATTATTTTTGCTTCCTGATTTTGATATATAGCTTTGATTATATTTTGAAAATAGTACCCCATATCCAAAGAAATTTAAAGAAATCCCACTTCACATTATCAAATGCTTTTTCAGCATCCAGGGCCAGAAACATTACCTCTTTTTAAATTTTCCTCTCATAATATTCTGTGTTGTTCATTCGTTCAGTCGTCTCCGACTCTTCGTGACCTCATGGACCAGCCCACACCAGAGCTCCCTGTCGGCCGTCACCACCCCCAGCTCCTTCAAGGTCAGTCCAGTCACTTCAAGGATGCCATCCATCCATCTTGCCCTTGGTCGGCCCCTCTTCCTTTTACCTTCTACTTTCCCCAGCATAATTGTCTTCTCTAGGCTTTGCTGTCTCCTCATGATGTGGCCAAAGTACTTCAACTTTGTCTCTAGTATCCTTCCCTCCAGTGAGCAGTCGGGCTTTATTTCCTGGAGGATGGACTGGTTGGATCTTCTCGCAGTCCAAGGCAATCTCAGGACTTTCCTCCAGCGCCACAGTTCAAAAGCATCGATCTTCCTTCGCTCAGCCTTCCCTAAGGTCCAGCTCTCACATCCGTAGGTTACTACAGGGAATACCATGGCTTTGACTAGGCGGATCTTTGTTGCCAGTCTGATGTCTCTCTTTACTATTTTATCGAGACTGGACATTGCTCTCCTCCCAAGAAGTAAGCGTCTTCTGATTTCCTGGCCACAGTCTGCATCTGCAGTAATCTTTGCCCCTAGAAATACAAAGTCTGTCACGGCCTCCACATTTTCTCCCTCTATTTTCCAGTTGTCAATCATTCTTGTTGCCATAATCTTGGTTTATGGCATAATATTCTATCAGGTCAATAATCATCCAGACATTCTCCCTTTAGGCAAAAAAACATTGGAAGATCAATAGGAATAGAAGAGTGGGAGACAATTTGGAATAAAAAAAATGAAATATACATTTGCTTACGATCTAAAATAGAACTGGGCAAAATGATGTACAGATGGTACATGACACCAAGCAAAATAAGGAAATGTTATAAAAATATAAATGCAAAATGTTGGTAATGTGGGGAGGTGGAAGGAACCTTTTACCACATGTGGTCATGTAAAAAAAGCAAAAATATTTTGGAAGAAAATACATGAAAATATACAAAAAATACTAAAAATAAAGATACAATTCAAGCCAGAAATATTTTTATTAGGAATTAATGAACAAAAATTAGACAGTAACATAGACAGACTTCTCTTCTCAGCAACAACAGCTGCAAGAATATGCTACATGAGACTCTGGAGAAAAAGTGAAATATCCAAATTGGAAGATTGGAACAAAAAGATTATGGACAAAAGAAATATGGATAGGTTAACCTACTTGATATCTAAAGAAAAGATAGGGAAGCAAAAAACCAGACTGGGCATTGATAACTGAATACCTAAAGTAAAAAAATAACAATAACTATAAGGAAAGAAATAATCTACCCATCAAAAGCAGAGCTCAAAGAAGAAAAGGGAGAAAAGAGATAAAAAAATAAAAGGCAGAAAAAAGGAAAAGGGAAAAAAACCTCCAGGAAGCCCGAAAGTGGATCTCATACATTTTCATTTGTTCTTTCTTTATCTTATTATTATATTCTCATTCTCTCTCTCTCTCGCTTTTGTGTTTTGTAAATACTTAATAAAGAGATATATATATTAAAGATGCCATTATACTGTTGGTTGCATTCGGTGAAAAGACACAGCCATGCCAGCATTCAGGAAGTGCTGATTCTCGTGTGGTATCTTTTCTTGCCATGGATTTGCTGATGTAAAGTCAGGTAGGTCTTTCGGCTGAAGCCCTTCCCAGTCTGAACAGGTGTACGGTTTCTCTCCGGTGTGAATTCTCTTATGTCGGACAAAGGTGGACCTGTCGCTGAAACTCTTTCCGCACTCTGTACATTTATGGGGCTTCTCCCCAGTGTGAATTTTCTGGTGTGACTTGAGACTGGCACTCTGACCAAAGCATTTCCCACACTCCAAGCACTGATACGGTTTCTCCCCAGTGTGCATTATCTGGTGTGATGTGAGATGATCACTCCAAGCAAAGTATTTCCCACACTCCAAGCACTGATACGGCTTCTCCGCGGTGTGGATTCTCTGGTGTCTTGAGAGGTGGGTCTTCCAACCAAAGCATTTCCCACATTCCAAACATTTAAACAGCTTCTCCCCTTTCTGTATCTTTGGATCCTTCATCTTTACAAGATCTGAATTCATACACTGTTTGTCATACACTGAATTCATACACTGTTTGTGTGACTTGAGGGACTCACTCCAAACAAAGCATTTTCCACACTTCAAACATTTATACGGCTTCTCCCCTGTGTGGATCATCTGATGTGACTTGAGATGGTAACTCCGACCAAAGCATTTCCCACACTCCATACATTTATGCAGCTTCTCCCCTTTTTGGATTCTTGGATGCTTCATTTTACCAAGGTCTGAATTCATAGACTATTTGTCGTCTGCAGAAATACTTTGATTCAGGTATATGTTGGAACTCGTCCCTTCATAAAGTGTTTCATTTTCAGCGTGGTATCTTTTCTGGCCACGGATTCTCTGATGGAAAATCAGGTAGGTCCTTCGGCTGAAGCCCTTCCCGCATTCTGAACAGGTGTATGGTTTCTCTCTGGTGTGTAGCCTCCTATGTCGGACAAAGGTGGACCGGTCACTGAAACTCTTTCCGCACTCTGTACATTTATAGGGCTTCTCCCCTGTGTGGATTATCTGGTGTGACTTGAGAGAGGCACTCCGACCAAAGCATTTCCCACACTCCAAGCACTGATGCGGTTTCTCCCCTGTGTGGATTAATTGGTGTGACTTGAGAGAGGAACTGCGACCAAAGCATTTCCCACACTCCAAGCACTGATGCGGCTTCTCCCCTTTTGGGATCCTTGGGTGCTTCATCTTACCAAGATCCGAATTCACAGACTGTCCCTCATCTGCAGAAATATTTTGATTCAAGTATATGTTGGAACTCGTCCCTTCATAAAGCGTTTCACATTCACTCAGGTTTCTTCTCTGATTGAAAGTCTTTGCAGACATTAAACCTGATTCGTCCTCAGGGTGAATTCTACTATGAAGACTGGAGAAAGCAGTCCCCTTTTTTCCTTCCTCGCTTTCCTGCTGGATTGAGATTTTGTGGGAGTCTCCCACCTGAAATTGGAAGGATTTGCCTTTTGGCACTTCCGTGTGGCTTCCGTCTTGGCTCACTGGCCCATCTTGGCTCCAAACATTCTCCTCCAATGCTTCACACACTGTTCTTTCTGAGGAATCTTCACCTAGTTGCCCCTCATTCTTACTTTTCCTTTCATCGCCTGTTGGAAATACAGCAGAAGGCAAATTAAGACCCATTCTCACCATGAAAATTGTATAGTCTGAGAAAGTTTCTGAATCTTGAATAAGAGTTGAAAGAGAAAGTGAAACCTATACTGATTTTCTATTTTTCATTCCTTCTGTTCCTCACACAGCATCAATTTCTGTGGTTCAATAGCTTCATGTTTATTTAGTTACATTTTCCCCCTTATACATCTCCTTCATCAGGTGTAACAACGATCATTGACACATACACAACATAGTTTATGAGAAAGGTAGAAAGGTTTGTGACAAACTAAGAGGGCAACTGTGCCCACACATCTCCTCAAGAAATGTGGAGTCTCCTTCTCTGCAGGTTTTTAAATAGAGAGGTGGGACGGCCATCTGCTGTGTTTTCCTGCATGGCAGAATGGAGATGGACAGGATAGTGCTTGCAGTGTCTTCCAACTCTATGATTCTGTGTCATCACAGGACCCACTGGTAACCCCATCACCCACAATATTACGGCCTCCAGAACAGCAGAACCCATATGTACAATTTAACTTACTTACACTTAAAGGAAAATTATCTCTCCAGGCATTTGCTAGATTCTCTAGAGTGATTCTACAGTATGTTTCCCCTGAACATTTTTGAACTTTGATGCCCAGAACGAGATACAATAATTCAGATGAGGATTTCAATGTCAGGGGTCTCTCCATTAACTTACCTCAGGAAAGGTGAAACTTTGGCCTTCCAGATACAACTTTCAATCTTTTCTGGCAAATCATTATAACTGCTTGGAACCCTATATACCTGGCAGACTCTTGGGCTAGACTATCCAAAGGATTAAGGGAATTAGTTAAGTGAACAAACCCAAAGGGTGCTCACCAATGCTTCCTCTTCATCCTGGAAAGAAGTGACGAATGGAGTGCCACAGGGTTCAGTCCTGAGCCTGGTTCTGTTCAACATCTTTATTAATGATTTAGATGAAGGGTTAGAAGGCATGATCATACAAGTTTGCAGATGACGCGTGCAAAAGATCTTGGAGTCCTCATGGGTAAATTAGTTAAACATGAGCCAACAATGTCATGCGGCAGCTAAAAAAAGCCAATGGGATTTTGGCCTGCATCAATAGGAGTCTAGTGTCTAAATCCAGGAAAGTCATGCTACCCCTCTATTCTGCCTTGGTCAGAGCACACCTGGAATCACACTGTGTCCCATTTTGGGCACTGCAATTTAAGGGACATGTTGTCAAGCTGGAATGTGTCCAGGGGACAGCGACTAAAAAGATCAAAGGTCTGGACAACAATTTCTATGAGAAGCAGTTTAAAGAGCTGGGCATGTTTAGCCTGCAGAAGAGAAGTCTGAAAGGAGGCATGAGGGCCACATATAAATATGCGAGAGGAAGTCATAGAGTGGAGGGAGCAAGCTTGTTTTCTGCTGCCCTGGACACTAGGACGTGGAACAATGGCTTCAAACTACAGAAAAAGAGATTCCACCTGAACATTAGGAAGAACTTCCTAACTTCCTTCCTCTCTCTGCCTCGGAGTGCAGTGGAGTCTCCTTCTTTGGAGGCCTTTGAACAGAGGCTGGGTGGCCATCTGTTGGGGGTGCTTTGAATGCGATTTTCCTGCTTCTTGCTAGGAGGTTGGTTTGGATGGCCCACATGGTCTCTTCCAACAATGATTCTTACGGAATGCCTTACTCAGGGGGAGAAGAAGCCACAGTGCTTTGGTTAGTCTAGGGAAATATCACCAACAACCAAGGACACCATTCTTTTTACCCAAAGGTCCAGCCTCTCCATCGTCATTTTCATTTTTGGTCTCCACGCTAAGTTTCTTCTGCTCCATCTCAGGCAACGCTTGCCCACCTTCAGAAGAATCCACTGTCTCCACTTCCTCAAATGGCACCTAAAATATTTATCACTTGTTAGTCAGATGTAAATCTCACATACAGGGCTTTCCTCTGCTCTGCATATTCCTCAAAATATTTGTGAAGTAGGTCAGGGCCAGAGAAAATAACTGCCCCATTGTCACACAATGAGTTTAATGGTCCAGAAGAGACTTGAACATAGATTTTGCACGTCACAATTTTACATGAAACCTACTGCCTGGGCATTTGATGGGAGCTGCATTTGCTCTTTACAGGGCACGCCTAACATCTGCTGTATTTTAACTTTTCCTTAAATTAAAAACTCAGTATGCCCACCTACTCAGGGGGATTTGGAAGGTAATTTTGCCATGTTTTTCTCCTTCCATAGCTGTTTCAGGTGCAAAGAAGGTCTTTTCAAAACCAAAACAATACTGAGGGTTAACTATCAGAGCAGAGGGGTACTGGAAGACGTAAGAAGGCTGAAAGATAGCTCCATAGAGGCTACACTTTACTTACTCCAGACCTAACCACACTGCCAACATGACTTGATAAATGAAGAAGATCTGTTGGCACCTTGCACAAAACAGCCCTTAGGGAAGCCTAGAACCCAATGACCGATCCTCACCTGGTTTGCCTGCCTCCTGGCCTCTTCTTCTCGCTGCCTCTGGAGGAAGTCCTCCGCCAAGGCCACCGCCTGGGAGCAAGTCTCTGGACCACATTCCTTGACCCAGGCCTCTATCTCTGGAGGCAGGATGGCCATGAATTGCTCCAAGATCAACAGCTCCAGGATCTGCTCTTTTGAATGCCTTTCAGCTTTCAGCCACCGGCAACACAGTTTCTGAAGCTGGCCATAAGCCCCTCTCGGTCCCTCGGCCTCCCGGTACCGGAAATGCCGGAAATACTGCCGCAGCTCCTCCTGCCGCATGGCGTCCCCATGCAAGATGGCGGCCTTCACTTTCCCATAATCCTCCCTGCCTTCAGCCTCTAGGCCAGTGAAGGCCCGCTTGGCCTCTCCGCTCAATGCTGGTAGGAGCCGGGGCACCCACTCTTCCTTGGGCCACCGGCAGGCTTGGGCCACTTGCTCAAAGGAGGCCAGGAAGGCTTTGGCATCGTCCCACGGCTCCTCGCTTGGCTCAGAGGCCCCCCAGTTTGGGTCAGGACCTTCCATGCTCCTTAGGAGCTCCTGCCATAGGGTTTCCCACTGCTGAAGCGAGTCTTTGTTGGGCTCCTGTTTCACCTCCCTTGGTCTTTCTCGCAGGAATGCCTGCATCGTCCCAACATGGCAGCTCCCTCTCTCTTCTCGTGACACCTGCTTTGGTATAAGATTTGTAAGGTATTCTCGGGTCTCCATTTTCATCCTCAGACAATAGTAGCCTGAGATGGTGGAAAATGCAGCAGTCTAAACATCCCCATGGAGCTTACTGCCTGGAAAACTGAAAGAAAAAATAATAATATAACACAACATTCGGATTTTAAACAGAAAGAGTTTTGAAAGCAAAGATTCAGGTCTGGAATGGAACTGGACACTGAATAACTAACCATGAAAAGGAAAAAAACAGTACACTCTGACCACTGTATCCATGGAGGAGACTTTCCTGAATTTACTGCAAAAACAGGAAACTGTGGATAATAGCAAACCTTGTTGAAATGAAAGGCTCTGCCAGCACAAGGCTGTCATGGAGAACCTATTTATTTATTTATCGTGTCATCAGCAACCAGACCATTGTGTTACAATTCTAACAGAACAAAACAAACACACAGATTAAAAAGAAAAAAAGAAAAAGAAAAAAACACACAGATTTTGCAAACTTGGTAGTTGGTTAAATGTCCTTTGACCAGTATCTGGCCACTTGGAGTGCCTCTGGGGTTGCCGCAAGAAGGTCCTCCATTGTGCATGTGGCAGGGCTCAGGTGCATTGCAGCAGGTGGTCAGTGTTTGCTCTTCTCCACACTCGCATGTCGTGGATTCCACTTTGTAGCCCCATTTCTTAAGATTGGCTCTGCATCTCGTGGTGCCAGAGCGCAGTCTGTTCAGCACCTTCCAAGTCGCCCAGTCTTCTGTGTGCCCAGGGGGGAGTCTCTCATCTGGTATCACCCATGGATTGAGGTGCTGGGTTTGGGCCTGCCACTTTTGGACTCTCGCTTGCTGGAGTGTTCCAGCGAGTGTCTCTGTAGATCTAAGAAAACTATGTCTTGATTTAAGTCGTTGACGTGCTGGCTGATACCCAAACAGGATGAGCTGGAGATGTCTCTGCCTTGGTCCTTTCACTATTGGCTGCTACTTCCCGGCGGATGTCAGGTGGTGCAATACTGGCTAAGAAGTGTAATTTCTCCAGTGGTGTAGGGCGCAGACACCCGTGATAATGCGGCATGTCTCATTAAGAGCCACATCTACTGTTTTAGTGTGGTGAGATGTGTTCCACACTGGGCATGCGCACTCAGCAGCAGAGTAGCATAGCGCAAGGGCAGATGTCTTCACTGTGTCTGGTTGTGATCCCCAGGTTGTGCCAGTCAGCTTTCGTATGATGTTGTTTCTAGCACCCACTTTTTGCTTGATGTTCAGGCAGTGCTTCTTGTAGGTCAGAGCACGTTCCAGGGTGACTCCCAGGTATTTGGGTGTGCTGCAATGCTCCAGTGGGATTCCTTCCAGGTCATCCTCAGAGCTCGAGATGCTTGTCTGTTCTTAAGGTGAAAAGCACATGTCTGTGTTTTGATTGATTGGGAATCAGCTAGTTTTTCCCGTAATAGGCAGTAAGAGCACTTAAAGCTTCAAAGAGCTTCTATTCAACGATTTCAAAAGCTCCCTGCTTGAGCAGTAATGGCACGATCATCAGCATAGATGAAACTCTCTGTCCCTTCCGGCAGTGGCTGGTCATTTGTGTAGATGTTGAACATGGATGGAGCAAGCACGCTCCCCTGAGACAGGCCGTTCTTGTTTCCGCCATCTGCTTCTCTGGCCCTGGAACTCAACAAAGAAGCTCCTAGAGAACCTAGACCAGGAGTGTCAAGCCCATTTTCATCAAGGGCCTTCAAAAGGCCATTGAAAACTGGAACTCTGAGGGAAGGCCTCCAAAATGGAGAAAACCCTTGCTATAGCAATGATAGCACTCTCAGTAAGCTGCAACTGTCATTTTGAAAACAGCAGCCATTTTGAAAACTGACGTCCTTTGTTCGTTTCTTAATAAACTTACTATTCTTGCTAATCTGTGTGGTGTTTGGCTGAAAAGGGGATCATGCAGGTGGCTGGGCTGCAACAGATATCGCCTCAGCACTCCAGTTTTCAAAATGGCTGCCATTTTCAAAATGAGAGTTGCCAGATGTTCAAGCTGGGTTTAGAAAAGGCAGAGGAACGAGAGACCAGATTGCCAATATCCGCTGGATAATGGAGAAAGGCAGAGAGTTTCAGAAAAACATCTACTTCTGCTTCATTGACTATTCTAAAGCCTTTGACTGTGTGGATCATAATAAATTGTGGCAAGTTCTTAGTGGGATGGGCATCCCAAGCCACCTTGTCTCTCTCCTGAGGAATCTGTACAAGGACCAAGTAGCAACAGTCAGAACTGACCACGGAACAACAGACTGGTTCAAGATTGGGAAAGGCGTACGGCAAGGCTGCATACTCTCACCCAACCTTGTATGCAGAACACATCATGCAATGTGCGGGGCTTGATGAATGCAAGGCTGGGGTGAAAATTGCTGGAAGAAACATTAACAACCTCAGATATGCAGATGACACCACTCTGATGGCCGAAAGCGAGGAGGAGCTGAGGAGCCTTCTAATCAAGGTGAAAGAAGAAAGCGCAAAAGCCGGGTTGCAGCTAAACATCAAAAAAACCAAGATTATGGCAACAAGAATGATTGACAACTGGAAAATAGAGGGAGAAAATGTGGAGGCCGTGACAGACTTTGTATTTCTAGGCGCAAAGATGACTGCAGATGCAGACTGTGGCCAGGAAATCAGAAGACGCTTTCTTCTTGGGAGGAGAGCAATGTCCAGTCTCGATAAAATAGTAAAGAGTGGAGACATCAGACTGGCAACAAAGATCCGCCTAGTCAAAGCCATGGTATTCCCTGTAGTCACCTACGGATGTGAGAGCTGGACCTTAGGGAAGGCTGAGCGAAGGAAGATCGATGCTTTTGAGCTGTGGTGTTGGAGGAAAGTGCTGAGAGTGCCTTGGACTGCGAGAAGATCCAACCAGTCCATCCTCCAGGAAATAAAGCCCGACTGCTCATTGGAGGGAAGGATACTAGAGACAAAGTTGAAGTACTTTGGCCACATCATGAGGAGACAGCAAAGCCTAGAGAAGACAATGATGCTGAGGAAAGTGGAAGGCAAAAGGAAGAGGGGCCGACCAAGGGCAAGATGGATGGATGGCATCCTTGAAGTGACTGGACTGACCTTGAAGGAGCTGGGGGTGGTGACGGCCGACAGGGAGCTCTGGCGTGGGCTGGTCCATGAGGTCACAAAGAGTCGGAGACGACTGAACAAATGAACAACAACAACAAAATCAGTGCTATAGCAATGTTCTCTATTTTGAAGATGTCGCCTCAGAGCTCTAGTCTTCAAAATGGCTGCCACTTTCAAATGACAGTTACAGCTTTCTGGGAGAGCTATCAGTACTGCAGCAATGCCCTTCTCCTTTTAAGATTTGCTTATTTTATATATACTCTTCTTTTACTAAACTTTTACTTACTGGATTACTTGGACAGAGTGCTGTTTGTGGTGAAAAGGTGTTTTCAGGGCTATAGGGTAACAGACATCACCTCAGAGCTCCAGTTTTCAAAATGGCTGCCTTTTTCAAAACAACAGTTTCAGCTTATTGGGAGAGCTATCAGTACTATAGCAATGCCCTTCTCCTTTTTTAAAATTTGCTTATTTTATATATACTCTTCTTTTAATAAACATCGCCTCAGAGCTACAGTTTTCAAAATGGCTGCCATTTTCAAAACGACACTTGCAGCTTACTGGGAGAGCTATCAGTGTTATAGCAATGTTCTTTTCCATTTTATAGACTTCGCCTCAGGGCTCCAGTTTTCAAAATGGCTGTCATTTTCAAAATGATAGAGTTGCAGCTTACTGGGAGAGCTATCCGTGCTATAGAATCATAGAATCAAAGAGTTGGAAGAGACCTCATGGGCCATCCAGTCCAACCCCTGCCAAGAAGCAGGAATATTGCATTCAAATCACCCCTGACAGATGGCCATCCAGCCTCTGTTTAAAAGCTTCCAAAGAAGGAGCCTCCACCACACTCCGGGGCAGAGAGTTCCACTGCTGAACGGCTCTCACAGGAAGTTCTTCCTCATGTTCAGATGGAATCTCCTTTCTTGTAGTTTGAAGCCATTGTTCCGTCCTAGTCTCCAAGGAAGCAGAAAACAAACTTGCTCCCTCCTCCCTGTGGCTTCCTCTCACATATTTATACATGGCTATCATATCTCCTCTCAGCCTTCTCTTCTTCAGGCTAAACATGCCCAGCTCCTTAAGCCGCTCCTCATAGGGCTTGTTCTCCAGACCCTTGATCATTTTAGTTGCTCTCCTCTGGACACATTCCAGCTTGTCAATATCTCTCTTGAATTGTGGTGCCCAGAATTGGACACAATATTCCAGGTGTGGTCTAACCAAAGCGGAATAGAGGGGTAGCATGACTTCCCTAGATCTAGACACTATGCTCCTCTCGATGCAGGCCAAAATCCCATTGGCTTTTTTTGCCGCCACATCACATTGTTGGCTCATGTTTAACTTGTTGTCCACGAGGACTCCAAGATCTTTTTCACACGTACTGCTCTCGAGCCAGGCATCGTCCCCCATTCTGTATCTTTGCATTTCGTTTTTCCTGCCAAAGTGGAGTATCTTGCATTTGTCACTGTTGAACTTCATTTTGTTAGTTTTGGCCCATCTCTCTAATCTGTCAGGATCGTTTTGAATCCTGCTCCTGTCCTCTGGAGTATTGGCTATCCCTCCCAATTTGGTGTCGTCTGCAAACTTGATGATCCTGCCTTCTAGCCCTTCATCTAAGTCATTAATAAAGATGTTGAACAGGACCGGGCCCAGGACGGAACCCTGCGGCACTCCACTTGTCACTTCTTTCCAAGATGAAGAGGAAGCATTAGTGAGCACTCTCTGTGTTCGTCCACTTAACCAATTACAGATCCATCTCACCGTAGTTTTGCCTAGCCCACATTGGACTAGTTTCCTTGCCAGAAGGTCATGGGGGACCTTGTCGAAGGCCTTACTGAAATCCAGGTACGCTACATCCACGGCATTCCCCGCATCTAACCAGCTTGTAACTCTATCGAAAAAAGAGATCAGATTAGTCTGGCATGACTTGTTTTTGATAAATCCATGTTGACTATTAGCGATGACCGCATTTGTTTCTAAGTGTTTGCAGACCACTTCCTTAACAATCTTTTCCAGAATATAGAATGTTCTTCTCCATTTTGGAACCAATGCCTCAGAGCTCCCGTTTTCAAAATGGCTGCTGTTTTCAAAATGAGAGTTGCAGCTTGCTGGGAGAGCTATCAGTGCTGTAGCAATGTTCTTCTCCATTTTGTAGACTTCGCTTCAGAGCTCCAGTTTTCAAAATGGCAGCCTTTTTCAAAATGACAGTTGCAGCTTGCTGGGAGAGTTATCAATGCTATAGCAATGTTCTTCTCCATTTTATAGACTTTGCTTCAGAGATCCAGTTTTCAAAATGGCTGTCATTTTCAAATGATAGAGTTGCAGCTTACTGGGAGAACTATCCGTGCTATAGCAATGTCCTTCTCCATTTTGGAACCAACGCCTCAGAGCTCCAGTTTTCAAAATGGTTGCAGTTTTCAAAATGACAGTTGCAGCTTTTCAGGAGAGCTGTCAATGCTACTGGACGTTCGTCTCCACTCTGAAACTCCACTCCATTTCAAGATGGCGTTTCAGCTTACCAGGAGACATGTCTTTGCTTATCCTTTCCTACTATTCTTGTTATTCGTCCTTACTAACATAATTGCCTTTACATTTCTCAGAAGATGGCAAACAAGCATGACGGTCAGAGGAGGGGCTGGGCCTGCATGTCCACCTGGAAGGAGCCTTGGGTGCTGCCACTCCGGAGGGAGAAGCTGGCCTGGAGGCTGGAGGTCCATTGATGGCCGCACACCATGGAATGGCATGGAGGGCCTGGAAGTGCCCGAGGGGACGATGCCTCCAGGAGGATGCTGTTATGGTAAGTGCCAGTCGATCATGGTCCCTGGGGACAGGAGCCACGTTCAATTTACATTACAAGAAGTGCAGCTCCATTTCCAAAGTTAAACACTCCCCCATCTCGTCTCATCTCTTCTTCAGCCTTCCAGATGTTTGGACTGCAACTCCCATCAGTACAGTCAGTGGAGAGGAATGCTGGGAGTTCCAGTCCAACAGTCTCAGGAGGGAGAAACCATTCCCAGCCCCATGTCCAAGATTTTGAAGGCATTCTGTGTTTGCAAGCGTTTCCTTTCTGGGAGACATCACATTCGCTGGGAAAGAAAAACCCCTAGGACTCTTTAGGTCAAGCATCCTCAAACTGAGGCCCTTCAGCTGTTTGGGCCTTCAACTCTCAGGAGTCTTGACGGGCTTGTTCAATTGTCAGGAATTCTGGGAGTTGAAGGCCCAAACTGCTGGAGGGCTGCAGTTGGAGGATGCCTGTGTTAGGTCCTCCAGCAGAACTTGGCTCTAAAGTGGGAAAAATAATAGGGAGGAGAGAGCAAGCTTGTTTTCTGCTGCCCTGGAGACTAGGATGCGGAACAATGGCTTCAAACTACAAGAAAGGAGATTCCATCTGAACATTAGGAAGAACTTCCTGACTGTGAGAGCTGTTCAGCAGTGGAACTCTCTGCCCTGGAGTGTGGTGGAGGCTCCTTCTTTGGAAGCTTTTAAACAGAGGCTGTCAGGGGTGCCATCTGTCAGGGGTGCTTTGAATGCAATTTTCCTGCTTCTAGGCAGGGGATTGGACTGGAGAGAGCTGTTCAGCAGTGGAACTCTCTGCCCCAGAGTGTGGTGGAGGCACTTCTTTGGAGGCTTTTAAACAGAGGCTGGGTGGCCATCTGTCCGGGGTACTTTGAATGCGATTTTCCTGCTTCTTGGCAGAATACGGTTTGACTAGATGGCCACATTAGTCCACACTCAGACTTCTGCAACACATTTTACATGGGCTTGCCTTTGAAGACTGTCCAGAAGCTTCAAATGGTCCAACGAACGGCAGCCAGATTGCTAACAAGAACGGCGCCCAGGGAGCGTACAACTCCTCTGTTGCGCCAGCTCCATTGACTGCCAGTTTGCTCCCAGGCACAATTCAAAGTGCTGGCTTTCGCGTATAAAGTTGGGTTCTGGCCCAACTTTCATGTCTGAACGCATCTTCCCTTACGAACCATCGAGGACCGTAAGATCACCTGGGGAGGCCCTGCTCTCGTTACCGCCTTTGTTACGTTTGTACGTTTGGCAGAGATGAGAGACAGGGCCTTCTCGTTGGTGGCTCCTCGGCTGTGGAATGCCCTTCCTATATATATTAGATCGGCCACCTCCCTTTTAACATTTCAGGAAAAAGTCAAGACGTGGCTTTTTGAAGAAATATTTGCAAATGCAGAGTAACTGACACAGGAAAATGGAACTACTAGACAATGAGTCCAGACATTTTAACAAGGAGACACTATGAATTTATACTTTATTGATTTGTTTAGTTTTTATTATATGTTATGTTTTTAATTGTATTTATGACATCATAAGCATTGAATTTTGCCCTGTAAATTGTCTTGAGTCACCTACGGGCTGAGAAAGGCGGTATACAAATACAGCAAATAAATAAATAAGGTCTCTTCCAAATCTATGGTTCTATGAAAAGGGGCCGGACTGGATGGCCTCAGGGTGCCCCTTCCTCCTCTGTACCTCCCACTTTCCCTCCTTCACCAACCACTTCTCTGCTCCTCATCAACTATTTTTATTTGTTTATTTATTTATTATCCCTGTTTTCCTCCCATAATTGGGACACAGCTTTAAAAAGCAAATCAACTAAAAACATGCAGAAAGTACATTTTAAAATGGAACTAAAATTGTCACAATAATCGAGGGTTATTTATTTATCGTGTCATCTGCAACCAGAACATTGTATTACATTTCTAACAGAACAAAACAAACAAACAGATAAAAACAAACAAACAAACAAAAAAACCCACAAATTTTGCAAACTTGGTAGCTGATTAAATGTCCTTTGACCAGTATCTGGCCACTTGGAGTGCTTCTGCTGTTGCTGCAAGAAGGTCCTCCATTGTGCATGTGGCAGGGCTCAGGGTGCATTGCAGCAGGTGGTCAGTGGTTTGCTCTTCTCCACACTCGCATGTCGTGGATTCCACTTTGTAGCCCCATTTCTTAAGATTGGCTCTGCATCTCGTGGTGCCAGAGCGCAGTCTGTTCAGCGCCTTCCAAGTCGCCCAGTCTTCTGTGTGCCCAGGGTGGAGTCTCTCATCTGGTATCACCCACGGATTGAGGTGCTGGGTTTGAGCCTGCCACTTTTGGACTCTCGCTTGCTGAGGTGTTCCAGCAAATGTCTCTGTAGATCTAAGAAAACTATTTCTTGATTTAAGTCATTGACGTGCTGGCTGATACCCAAACAAGGGATGAGCTGGAGATGTCTCTGCCTTGGTCCTTTCACTACTGGCTGCAACTTCCCGGCGGATGTCAGGTGGTGCAATACCAGCTAAGCAGTGTAATTTCTCCAGTGGTGTAATCGAGGGTACATTAATACTGCAGTGTGGTGCCACTTTTAACTGCCAAGCTGAATGCTATAGGCTCAGGACACCTGTAGTATGGGGAGGAAAACACCTTGGAAAACTGCAATTCCCAGGACAGTGTCAAGGGTTTGAAGTGCACTCCTTCTCCAGTGGAGATGCATCCCAGAACACTCCAGTTGCAACCCTCCTTCTCTTTCTCATCCTGCTCCCAAAGGTGGAGTTGCAACATTTCCTATCAGACCCACTTTTCCTTTCCTTTCCATTACTTTCCTTTCTGTGTCTTCACTCACCTTCATCCCTCCACCAGCTTCTTCCATCTAAATCCAAGAACTCAGGCTCAGGTGTTTCTCCTTTTCCTCCAAAGAAAGGAAAGCAAAAGGGGGAGAGGCCATCCCAGGAAGAGGAGGACACACATCCTTGCAAAACAAAACACTGCAGGAAGTCCTCTCTAGCCACCTGTAGTTCCAGATCTCGAAGGTTTGCCTGAAAGCAGCCTTAGGTCCTCCAGGTGTTTGAACTCCAACTTTCAGGAACTGAAGTCCCAAACTGCCTGGAAGAGCACAGTTAGGAGGAAATGCTTTTCTCAAAGGGGAAGAAATTCCTCTGACAATCTTTCAATAAAGTTATTTTTCCAGCATACCCATAAGAAGAAGTGGAAATAATTACTAGTTTTTTAATTAGCACCGGTACTGTGGCGCAGCTGGCTGGAAGTCAACTGCATTAAGATCACTACTGACCAAAAGGTCATGAGTTCAAAGCCAACCCAGGTCGGAGTAAGCTTCCAACCAATTTTGTGTAGCTTGCTGTTGACCTTTGTAGCCCGAAAGACAGTTGCATCGTCAAGTAGGAAATTTAGGTACCACTAAATTTGATACTAATTTAACTAATTTTTGAGGCAATAAAAATCTCCAGCAAGCATGCAAAGAATGAGGAAGTACTTTATCGGTGTCACAAATGGTCAGTGAAGGGACAGCTCCCCTGGTGGCCAGAATACCCTCAAGAAAAGCTGGAATGTTAAATTGCCTCTGTGTCTTTCTATATATGTTGTGTGTCTATGGAGGTCATAAAAATCTCCAGCAAGCTTGCAAAAAATGAGGAAGTACTTTATCGGTGTCACAAATGGTCAGTGAAGGGACAGCTCCCCTGGTGGCCAGAATAAACTCAAGAAAAGCTGGAATGTTAAATTGCCTCTGTGTCTGTCTATATATGTTGTGTGTCTATGGCATTGAATGTTTGCCATGTTTATGTACGTTGTAATTCGCCCTGGGTCCTCTGCGGGGTGAGAAGGGCAGAATATAAATACTGTAAATAAATAAATAAATAAATATGTATTTATTTTTGAATTTTTATTTATTATTTTGCCTTTATAATTTTATTTGTCCTGCGCAATGTCATGTGGTGGCAAAAAAAGCCAATGGGATTTTGGCTTGCATAAATAGTAGTCTAGTGCCTAGATCGAGGGAAGTCATGCTACCCCTCTATTCTGCCTTGGTCAGACCACACCTGGAATCACACTGTATCCAATTCTGGGCACCACAATTGAAGGGAATTGTTGATTCTGTGACCAGAGGAGGGCAACTAAAAGGATCAGGGGTCTGGAGAACAAGCCCTATGAGGAGCAGCTTAAAGAGCTGGGCATGTTTGGCCTTCAGAAGAGAAGGCTGAGAGGAGACATGATGAGGGCCATGTATAAAAATGTGAGAGGAAGTCATAGGAAGGAGGGAGCAAGCTTGTTTTCTGCTGCCCTGGAGACTAGGACGTGGAACAATGGCTTCAAAGTACAAGAAAGGAGATTCCATCTGAACATTAGGAAGAACTTCCTGACTGTGAGAGCTGTTCAGCTGTGGAACTCTCTGCCCCGGAGTCTGGTAGAGGATTCTTCTTTGGAGGCTTTTAAACAGAGCCTTGATGGCCATCTGTCAGGGTTGCTTTGAATGCAATTTTCCTGCTTCTTGGCAGGGGGTTGGACTGGATGGCCCATGAGGTCTCTTCCAACTCTATGGTTCTATTTATTTGCTACCTTTCTACTTCTGAGGTCCTGTGCCCCTAACCTCAATAAATGTGGAGGACTGATTGTAATCATTTGCGACATTTATGAACCACTAGAAAGAGGTAGACTCACCCAGAAAGGACACAAAGCCCAAATTCTCCCCCATCACTTCCCAGTGCAGGTAGATCCCATCAACTGCCTTCAGGGTATTCAATATTAAGGTGCATCATGTGCCTTCATTGAGATTATGTGGCTCCATTAATTACAAGGGGTCTTCTTAGGTAAGGAGTAACTCAGAGGTGGTTTGCCAGTTCCCCCTCTGAAATAGAGCCCAGAACACTTGCGGAGTGTTTCTGGTCTCCCATCCAAGTAACCAGGGCTGACCCTGCTTAGCTTCCAGGGTCAGATGGGATCTAGTGCTTTAGGGCATTTGTATTTTCTAAATTGTTGAGTTCCCCCAAATTGTTTCTGACTTTTGGTCATTCAAGAGTGAACCTATCATAGGTTTTCGTGGCAATGTTTGGTTGGGGAGGGGGGTGTTGCTCTGCCTTCTAGAGGCTGAGAGAGTGTGACTTGCCCAAGGTCACTGAGTTCTCACACCTAAATGGAAATTCGAACCCCGTCTCACTTCTGAAATCCTGCCCAAATATTCATTCCCAACACATTTGTCCTGGCTGGAGGCTCCCTGTGCTATAGCAGTTAACATTTTGGAGATCACACACTTCCTAACCCAAGTTTACAGTTAAGAGCTTTGGAGTTAATATGGTGAGAGACTTGAAAAATTCAGATCCAATTTTGCTATGACGGAAAGTGGAGTCCTTGAAAAGAGAGCTGTAGAGCAATGGGTGTGCATCTGACATGTGGCTGAAGGCCATGGGTGCACCCACACTGTAGAATTAATGTTTGACCCCACTTTGGCTCATGCCTATAGAATAATAGGAGCTGCAATTTTACATGGTCCTTCGCCATCTCTGCCTCACCAAACTACAAATCCCAAGACTCCGTATCACAGAGATATGTCAAAACTACATTAGTTCTACAGTGTAGTTGGGCCCTAAGACATCTTATGTGCACAATAAGGATACTGTTATACTCATATATAAGTCAACTTCATGTACACATTATGGGCAAGTTTTGGGACCTGAACTTTGGTTTTTGACACCTTCTCTGTGACTCCCAGAGGCCTCCTACCCAAGCAAATGGCATAAGCAATGTTATGGTTGAGAGTAGAGAGGGTTGGTGTTTTTTTGTTTACATTCTTCCAGAATGGATAAGGTCTCATCTTTTTCCACTCTACTCAGATACAGAGATGGGCCCTTAAAAAAAAGAATTGGGGTACACTACTTACATTGATCTGTGGATAAGTATACCTAGGATTTTGGGGTTGAATTTTTGACTAGGATTTCAAGACCTATACATGACTATATAGTGCAGGGGTCCCAGCCCCTGCCCATAAACTTTGACTCATCAGTAAAAGTAGGTCCACACTTCCCATTAAAATACTGGTAAGTTGATGGTGGTTAAAATAGTTCATTTTAAATATTGCATTGCCCTTTTATCTCTGCGAGTGCAGCATTTTTCCGAATGAAGCACAGAGAGTTTGGGGACCGGGACAT